TTGTGGCTTGCTCAGGCTTCACAGCAGTTCAGGGGCAAAGCAGGGGCTAGAAAGAACCCAGGCCTGACTCCTAGCTCCAGGCCCTCAAATTTGCCAGCACCATCTCCATCCCAGGAGGCCCCAGAAGTGGCAGAGGCCAAGAAATTCTAAATGTATTATGCTACTCTCCCAGGACCTCTCAAATCTCCCCCATTACCCCAATACTCTCCAACCAGCCCCCAATGGGCTTAGGTAAGCCACTCCAGGCCTGGACACAGCATCCACTGTCTCTCTTGTCTCTAGGCCTCTCAGCACACCAGGACCTTGGCCTGTGTTGGTCGCTAAGAGGCCCTGCAGTCAGACCGCCCCTCCCCGACCCAAATCTCATACCTCTGTTTATGCTGTTCCCAGTACCTGACTATTCTTGCCTGCCTTGCTAATGCCTATTCATCTCTCAATAGCCAGACTGAATAGCAACTCTTCCAGGAAGGCTTCCCTGATCCCAAGATGATTTAGCTACCCCACCCTCACCTCCAAGTCCCCACAATTCCCCTTGCTTCCTTCCCTGTCCCTGCGTGGATCATTGCACACTGTTATCTTGTGTACATCTCCCTAGTCTCACTTCCTCAAAGGCAGGGACCAGGGCTGACCGACCTGTGTGCAATAGAGTCTGACACATCAATAAACCAAAGGGTCTCCACCACGGCAAAACTTCTTAGATGCTCCAGAGTGAAGCCTACAATTCTCTGTAGTGTTCGGGGCCTGTTGCACGTGTCACACAGGATAAATGACAAGGACTAACTTGAGCGTCACAAGTTAGTTTACAAAGTACTTTCCATTCACGTTCACTCAAAGTTCACATTCTTGAGAGTTTGATATTTCTGATCTTATTTTCCATATGGGGGAGTAAGATCCCCAAAGGGAAGTGAGCTGCCAGCCACATTGCGGAAGGAAGCCAGGGCTGGATCCTTGCTCCCTGGCTTCTAAGCCCTGGAAGTGATGAGGGGAACCATGGTGAGCTCGGCTATACCTACTTGGCCCTCAGTTCCTCGTGAGATTGTGGGTGTTTCTAGGGCAGGGAATAGCTGCGCCCCAGCACCCAGCATAGGCAGGCATAGAGGAAGCCTGAGGAAGGATCGAAGAATCACACTAAGGCTAAAAGCAGGGCTTCCTGCCAAGAGGAATGGGGCAGCTCTCAGGAGGGCTGAGGGCCCATTAATGATTCGTTCATTTAACAAATATTTACTGAGTACCTACTACATGCTGGTGCAGTGCTAGGTGCCAGGGACACAACACCGAGAAAGACAGACGAGGTCCTCATTCCCAAGGGGCTGATATTCTTATGGGAAAGACAATTACCTAAACTGAGAAGTACATATGATATTTTAGGTAATGATAAGGGCTATAAAAAATAAAACAAGATGTAGCGACTAGGGGGAGGTTCTCCAGGTGGTGTGGACAGGAAAAGCCTATGAGAGAAGACTGAATGATCAGGAGCCAGCCATGCAAAGACTGGGCAGGGGAGCTGCACACACAAAGGCCCTGAGATAGGACTAAATTGGTGGGAATGTTGCAGGAAGAGGAAGACCATCGGCAGTTCTGGAGCATAACGCTATAGGAGATTAGGTCGGCAGGTGCTCACGTGGGGTTTCACAGCCACAAGGAAAAGTTTGGAAGGTTTGAAGTATGATGAGGGGCAATTGGCAGTTCACCTGGCATCAAAGCCCTGGGGGCTTGTGGTGTCTCTATGCATCAAGGCAAGCTGGGAGAGCTTCCTCAAAAAGCTTCGGTGGTGGGGGGAGGGGGCCGTGATCTGCCACCCTGATCATGGAAACTGGAAGTTGTTGAGCATCTACAATGACCGGAGCCACGTGCTCATCCCTCAGCCATCTCACCATACTTCTCTCTTGGTTTAAGGAGTGCCTTCTCTCTGGGGCTCTCAGTGTCCTACCTGTAACATGAGGGTTGGGCCAGATCCAGTATTAACAGATAGCTATGATTTTATCACTCAATTATTGCTGCTGAATTTGGGGGTGGGAAGATGGGGGTGGAGCAGGATTTCCACACTGGCCACTGCTGACTCATCCAACCTGCTAATAAACTATTATTCCTGGCCCTCCTTTCCCAGCCCAAAAGAGTCCTCGGTGACACAAATAACCTCAAAGTGGCCTCTGTGCAGTTGGGGAAGTGGTATAGGGGAAGGGGAATGCTACAAAGAATTGGAGGACAGGGGAACATGAGAATGATGTTCTCATCCTATAATGTAAGTCTAGGTTAGGTAACTGTCAACCCTCAGTTTCAGAGTTATCTCCCAACAATCTAGCCTCTTCGTTTTACCTCCATTAATTGCCTGCTTGCATATCCCCCAGTGATGGGGAGATTCACCGCAACCCACACCGAGGCTGCTGCAGTCTGCAACAGCTGTTAGAAAGAATTCCTCCATTATATCAAAACCTGTCACCCATAATCCCACCCCTGTTCCTCGCCTTGCTCTTTGGAGCCACACAAAACAAATCAGCTCAGAATTTTACCAAGGCTGCCACCATTTCATGCTGGGTCATGCGCTGAATCCTAGGGATATAGGCAGGCATCAGAGGGCTCTGACCGAAGAATCTCCCATGCAGGGGAAAAGGCAGGGATGCAAATGTGACTAACTCTGCAGCCTCCACCCTGGTCCCAGGATAGACCTTCGGAAATTAGAAAATACCAACAGAGACTCCCATCTCCCCGCCTCAAAAGAGACACCCACCTACCCATACAAGTGATCTTTTCTTTTGGTCAAGAAACCAGATACCAGGATATCTATTTCAATCTCTCACCCATCATAGGACTTCCCTTCACAGAATCCATGTTCTCTCCTTGAATACCGCCACTAACAGGGTGTTCACCACCTCACAACAATGGAAACTTATCTGCACAGGCAAACCAGGCCACTGGGGAGTGTCATCAAAAACCAAGGATGTAGAAAGCAGGTCTAATAGAGATGCCTAGATAACACAAAATTTGCTTACCCCACCCAGTCTGTTACCAAAGTAGATCCCAGAGAACTGAAGTAATTGGTTTGCATTTCATACCAGCCTTTGCTGCGTCCCACTATGGAATTCCTTGCAGCCGATTTTTTTTAAAAAATGTTTTCAAGATGTGATAACAACATGGGGAAATGCTCCTGATATGATATCAAGTGACTTGGTCAAAATCATTCACTAGAAGTCTTCCTGAATGACAAACTCTAGGTCAAAAATGCAAGTCAGGGTCCCTGGCTCCTGGAAGATACAGCTCTCAGCCTACGGACCGCAGAGGCGAAGAAAAGGTATCTCCGGGAAGGACTAGCACAGAGACCTGGCCCATTCCCTAGAGACAAAGGCATTTTTAAAGGCATGAACATGAGTAAGTCCCTTCCTTCCCCTGTTACGAGTATCAAAGAGAACGGTGAACAGACCAGCACTCTTAAGTAAGAGATGCTGTCAGAGGCTATTGGGCCAGGTACATAGGGCAGCTTAGTCTGCTTGCTATCCAAGAAGGCAGCTCTGTACCTCTCCAAGGGCAACAAGCAGCATCCAGACCAAGAGGAGCAGACAATCACAGCAACAATCACACAGGTAACACCACCAACACCCAGGATACGGTTAAACTGGAATACATACAGCTTCAGGGTGTATTACCTTGTAGCCACTATAATATTATAAGTGATTTTGAGTAAGAGAAGGAAATACTCATGATGTAACATCAAGAGGGAGAAAACAGGATTCAGAACTATATCTACAGCGTGCCCTCAACTTTATATAATGTGTATGAATTATAAAGAATATACTAAAAGGCAATAGAAAACTATCTTTGGGTAGTTGATACCAGCAATTTTTATTTTCATCCTGTTTTTCTATATTTTTCAAATATAGAAAATAGTTAGCATGTTGTATTTTTTATAATGAAGGTGGGTGAAGTAGGCGGTTGTTAGTTACTAAAGAAAACCCTAAGTAGGGCAGGTTCAATAAGCAGAAAAAAAGGGTAGGAGGATTCAAGCAAGACACACTCAGATCAGGACAGCTATGAAGACTTCCCAGGGTCTTCTGGATTCGTATTTAATCTCATGGCCAAGGCATCCGTTAAGAAAACTTTGGGCAGGTTATGCCTTCTATAACCACAGTTTTTCCAACTATAGGTGGGCAGTGTGGGAAGTGGAAGGGATGCTCTTTCACTTGGGAATAGCTCTGCCCTTGATTCACTGAGGGACTCAGTTCCACACTAGGGGGCACCCAGGGTCCTCTGCCCCTCGTTCTAAGTGTGCTAGTTCACAGTCGCTGCTGAGTGGGTCCCAGAGCCTGAGCTGGAGGATGGGTGTGGGGTAGAGGGCAGGTACCGGCACACCTGTCCCAGCCAGGCATGTTCTCTGTCTGGGGGCTGTTTCAGGGCATTGCAAAACCCTTGCCACTCTACCCATGCAGTCTCTCTCGCCTTGCTCTGCCTGGTGAGGAGAGGGGAAGAACTGCCAGGGACCACCAACAATGCTAGGGGCTGGAGAGGAGTTCTCAAATATGACCCCTATCTCACAGATGAGAAGAACAAGCTGCGGGAAGGGAAATGATGTCACAGAAATTGCAAATATTGATGAGTGCCAGAGTGGAGAATAAACCACTTGACTACCATGCCGGATTGCCTAGATCAGACTAGGTAACCATTATTCTCCCCTCATTCCGGACGCAAATGATCTAAGGAGAGTGGGGGCGGCAAGCTTTGTCAAATGAAAAGAGGTCGGGACTTCAACCTACATAGTGGCCAGTCCTTCAGCAACGTACCCTCATTATAAGAACATGCTCTTGCTTGCCTTAGAGTCCTTTATCACAGCCTTTCCTGAAAAACTTGCAGCTTCATAACCCCAGGAAGAAAGCCCACAAGGCCTTGCAGACCCCTTGGTGGTGACAGGTCATCTCCCAGACCCTCACCCCATCGCCCAGACCCCTCACACGATACCACAGATCTTCCATTAGAGCTCTCACTCTGGGCAGCCTGGGCCCGTTGCTCACCTCGCAGGACCCCGGAATAGGCGGCTATGAGGGTCTTCATGCTGAAGCCGGTGCGAGTCACGGCCCTGCGGGAAGCCGCCTTACCCGCCGCCCCTAGCCCATGCCCCGGCCGCCGGGGCCAGGGCTTCACGCCGAGCACCGGAGCCCGGGGACCACGCGGACGCCGGAGCGGCTACCGCACAGGGAGCTGGGGGCGGACGGGTAGCCGGCCGCCGCCGCCAGAGTTGAAACCGAAAACGAAGCCCTGGCGGCCGCCACTGCGCTCGCCGAGCGGAGCGCGGCACTTTATAACCTCACAACGGGGCGGGGCCCGACGCGGGCGGGGGCGGGGCTGGCGTTCCGACCCGCGGCCCGCCCCACTTCCTCCCAGGGGAGCGCGCCTGGGGCTCCGCTCCGCCAGGGGCCCCTTGCTCTTGTCTGTCAGCCATAGCTGTAGCGATCGGTGTCGTTATAATATGCATTGTAAATTATTCTGTGCGGCTAAAATGAAGGTAGAAAGCGTGCAGTACCTGAGCGACGCGAAGATTGGTTTGGCCCGGCTGCTAGAATGTGGGCCAGGAAACCGAGCACGTGCAAGGCCGGCTGAAGGGGTGCGGACGCAGGTGTTGTGTTTTAATTCTTTTGGCAAGGCCTTTCCTTGGCCACAGATGCTATGGTCATTCCATCTGTTTATTAAGAAACCCCACAGAGCATCAGTCTATACATTGCTTAGTGCCGGGGATTCAACTCAGTCAGCCCAGGTCCTGTCTTTGGGATGCACACGTTGGGAGGAGGTGTTGCAGAGACAGCCACACACAGGCTCTGGCAGCAATGCTGGGACAAGAGATAAGGTCCTGCCTTGGGCTGGAAACTGGGTGCATTTCCCAGAGAGGTTAGTGCACAGCAGCTTTGAAATCAGATACACCTGGAGACCAATTCCACCCCTGCTTTTCTTGAACCTCAGTTTCCACGTCTGTAAAATGGGAATGATAACAATTATTTCGTGAGGTGATTTGAGAATTAGATGAGGTTAGGTATGAAAAAAGCCTAGCATAGTGCCAGGTACATAGAAAGTGTTTCAACATTATTTTCATTGCACACTGATTAGTAGTTTTGTAGATGGAAGTTTTGAGGGCAAGGCAGGACAGGCATAAAGTCTTAAAAAAGCCAGCATATCTGGGACAGGGCTAGGGGGCCTGGAGTGACTGGAGCTCTAGCAGTTGTGTGAAACGAAGCTGGGGCTTGATTTTATTTTTTTATTTTATTTTATTTATTTATTTTTTTTAGGAGAGGCAACCCTTGGTTGACCTCACAGATTGCAAAGACATTGTCAGCTTACAATCCCTTATTTTTCATTTTTTACACCTACAGCACCTATTCTTCTTAGCTGGTCTCCCATCCAAGTACTAACCAGGCCCGACACTGCTTAGCTTCTGAGATCAGACAGGATGGGGCTTGTTCAGGGTGGTATGGCTGTAGACTGGGGCTTGATTTTTATGAAGGTCCCCAAGTGTTACTCTTGGGACATTGGGGTGAGAGTGGGTTTTTTGGAATAGCTTTGAGAAGGGAAATATCAGTGGTCAAATTAGTTTTTAGAGTCCCCAACTATAGTGAGGAATGGATGGAAGCAGGTGGGCAGTGAGGAACTGTGGGAGGAACCTAAGTGAAAGAGGAATAGCCCTGAGTTAGGGCAGTAGTGAAGGGAATGGAGGGAAAGGCGTAGTCTAGAGAAAAGCATAGGACGTGGTGAGATCGGCTGGACTATGGTAGAATGACTTATTGTATATGGTGGGTGAAGGAAGGGGTGGGGACAAACGAGCATTTTAGTGAAAGAGATTTCTTGGGCACAATTTGAGCAAGCTGTTGTGGGGTCTCAGCATAAGAGGAGAGAGAGTCTGCTGTTGAGGTCTTTATCATCTGAGTGGGAGGTGGGTGGAGGCCATGACAGAAGTGACATTGCCAGGGGAACATGTGCCAAATGCCACCGATGAGACCTAGAAACAATTCTATTTGTTCAACTCTCTCAAGGCCATAAACCTCAATGAGAAAATGTCATTGAGCCCTGAAGCATGAGCTGACCAAGAGTAGAAGGAAAAGCATTCTAGGTAGAGCATGTGTTGAGACTCTGAGCTTGATGTCTTTAAGGAAAACTGAGGGAAGGTTAGTGGCATACCAGTTTCATAGGGGGACATGGGAGCTTGTACGTGCAAAGACTAGGTGGTAGGAACAGGTGTGATGTATTTCTGGGTAAGGAGTACAGCCAGGTAGATGCCACTGAATTCTTGCATCATTTTTCCAGAGGTGTTTTTGAGTCCTCTTGGAGACAAGACTCCTGCTGGCATGGAAAGACCCTAGGTTAGTGTTTGGATATGCCTGCTCCAGAAGGGTCTCTTGTGGAGGAGGCCTTAGGCTGGAACCCATGGCGTACCCACTCCCTTCATAGTATTATCTAAGGGGTTAGAGCTTGGGCTGGGGGACAGGAGGCCTGGGTTCTAGCCTTTCCTTGGGCAAGTCACTATCCCAGTGTAGGTTTCAGTTGCTGAATCATTAAACAGAGGTGACAGTTCCTATCTTGCTGACTTTATTTGAATATTTGAGGATCAAATGAAATTGTAACATGTAAAAGGGTATTACCACTATGCTATGAAAAGTAAGATACCATTACTTTAAATGGCAAGACTTTGGGTCTCCAAGGCCTCTTTGAAACATTTGGATCCCAAGTTCATCTCCTTCAGCACATTTTTCTTGTGCACCTTCCTGGGCCTGGCTCTCATTGGGACACAGAGGGTAATGAGACGTAGTCTTTGCCTTTGAGGAGACCCAACCAAGAGATGGTTTCCCAAAGCCAATGGTCGCAGCCAGACAGCCACTGGCTGCTGTGATGCAGAGGAACGTGGGAGGCTGTGCTGAGTTCACCCCTTCACTCCTGTGCTGTTACTGTCTTGTCTGCTCTGTCTGTCTCTCTGCTAGGCTAGGAGCTTCCCAAGGGCAGGAATCTCATCACTCTGTGCCCCGGTGTGGACCTGGTTTGGCATAATGTCTCGATAAATGGTGAACTGACCATTTGAATGAGTACAATAGAGTCATGGACAAAGTGCTATGGGAACACTAAGGAGGGAATGATAAATTGGGAAGGTTGAGAGGAGATGACACTGCCAGTGGACCTGAGATGATGAGTACAGTAATGCCAGGCAGAGGAAGAAGAAGGCTATTCAGACAGAGGCCTGCAGATGGGAGCCGTGAGTGCCCTGTTGGGGCTAGAAGAGGGTTGCATGCAGGGGAGGCATAGGAGATGAGGCTGGAGAAGTCGACAGGGACCAGATCTGAATGACCTTGTAATCCAGACAAGAAGCTTGGGCTTCATCCCAAGGGGTGTAAGCAGAAGGGCACCTTGATTAAATTGGAAGGTTAGAAAGATCGGGTAGGTTGGTGGTGTAGAGGGGGCTTGGGGCTTGGGGAATGGAGCAATAAATCTGTTCCAATCTGAACTCTTCATACACATGTGGGAACATCCACCAAAGGATGCAGAGGGAAGTCCAAGGGCTGAGAGGAGCTGTCACTTGCCTCTGGGCCATTTCACAGAGTGACAACTCTTTCCTGCTGGCCCCCAGCTGTCAAGCCCAAAAGTGTAAGCAGTTTGGTCCAGACTGGCTTTGGATGAAAAACCAGACCTAGCATTAGAGTAGCCCAGGGAGGAAGTTTTTTGACAGGTTTCTATGTGCTGGGACTGTTGTCCCTTGCCTGAGGTGGGCATGGAAGCTCACACGGGGCACTGACTTCTCCTGCCCGCTTCCCACACATCCTGCCATCCCTACTTTCCTGTCTGTAATGGCTTGCCCTGCTCCTCCTGCTGGTGTGTGAGTAGGACTGCTCTGGAGCCTGACTCATCTTCCCTTTGTCAGCTCCCAACCCAGCCCGTAGGTGCTTTGGCCAAACCGCAAATAGAGAAGTCAAGTCAAACTACCAAGCAAGGCTTGATCAGGGGGCTTGACCAGGGGTGGCACATCCCACCATGCCCCTTCAGTCATCAGTGTTGTGCTGCCATTAGGAATTATGGGTGTAGGTTGGTAGTTTGTGATGGGTTGGACACTCGTCCTTCTGAAACCTTTAATGTAACGGCAGCCTTACCTCCTTCATTGCACAGATGAGGAGAGTAAGTGGCCAGCCTGCAAGGCAGAGGGGACACTTGCCCTAAGAGAGGCACAGAGCAAAAGGCAGAAACAGATATTTACCAAGAACTTTGCTCCATGCTAGGCCCTGGCCTGTGTGAACTTATCCAGTCCTCACGGCCACTCTGAAAGGGGTGATTCTCACCTCACTTTGCAAATGAGGTGCAGAAAAGTAAAGTGACTTGTCCAGGATAGCACCGTGAGTAAGCGGTAAAGCTGGGGATTCACACCCAAGTCTTCCTGAGCTGCAAGCCCATGGCTTTCCCTGCCTCACAAGACTGGGGAGAGGAACCACCTCAAACAGCAGAATTACTTGACAAAAGCAAATTCCTATAGCTTCCCCTATAGCCTTGTCAGGTTATGCCCACTTTGCAGTTGGGAAAACTGAAGCTCAGAGAATCAAAGAGCTTGTCGATATCAGTTCTGGGCTGGGATTTGGACCAGTTCTCATGCCATGAGACTAAGGCTTGTCTGGGCCAAACTCATTTCCAGTGCTCAGCTCACTTGTAGGGTGAGAGGGCAGAGGTTATGGCACAGGGAAGAGGTATGCATGGCCCTGTGGAACAGAAACTACCCACCTCCTCCTTCCCTATCCAGGAATTTGCCAGCCAGGGATGCTTCACGACATGGCTGCGCCCTTCCTGGGACTCCCACCCTCCTTTTCCAAACCCCCTACTGTCCCCTGTTCTGAGAGAATTCACCCCATGCTGCTTGGTCATCAGGGGCCAAATGATGTATAGTCTCGAGTGCCAGAGCAATGGGAGACATAAAGAGTTTTTAGCAGGGGTCATGAATGGCCAGTTTTGTGCTTTAGAAAGATACTGTGTGGGCAAGAATACCTTCAGCTCTCACCTCCATGGTACCCTTCCTAATTACCTCTAACCTGGATTAGTCAGGGTCCCGAAAGGACACGGCCCATGTGTAAGTGGGTAATTTGAGGAAATTTTAATACAAAAACCATTTGTAAAGAGTAACCAAGGCATAGGGAAGACTCTATGGATGATGCAGTACCCTGTGGGGGATGTGGCCTAAAGGGCAAAGGGAGAAAGCCAGGTAGAGTGGGAGCTATGTGAAGATGGCTGCCTGATAGAAGCTGTGGCTTTCATTGAAAGGGCACAGACA